ATTTTTCCAAAAGTTATATAAAATATAAATTAAATAATATAACATATAAAATCGAGATTTTTTTCACGGAAATCGTACGTTTTTCTTTAACTTTGATGTCCGTTTTCACCACGAAGACAAGTCCAGAGGTCAAATTTTTTTTTTTCAAATTAAAGTATATTACATAAGCTTTAATTTAAGATATATATAAAAGTGTCAGTCTTTCCGGAACATTTTCAAAAGTTAAGTTGAAAAAGTTCTACTTTCTATACGCATTTTAAAAGGTTTGCACCCCCCCTGTATAAAGGGAAATGGTCCGATTTTAAAAAAAAGTATGTCGAATGAAAGAAGTATATATAAAGTATTTATCATTAAAGAATAAAGTTGATTCATGCATTTTTTAAAAAGTTATAGCAACATAATGTTAAAAAATGTAAAATATAATATCAAGAATTTTTTCACAAAAATAGCATATTTTTGCATACGGTAGTCATTTTCACCATGAAGACAAGTCCAGAGGTCAAATTTTTTTTTTTCAAATTAAAGTATATTACATTAGCTTTAATTTAAGGTATATATAAAATTGTCAGTCTTTCCGGAACATTTTCAAAAGTTAAGTTGAAAAAGTTAATTTTTTGTAAAAAAGTTACCATTTTGAAACCCCATCCTTTGGGCTGTTAAAGGGTCAAATGTTCACAAAAATATATAAAATGATAGGTAAATATCTAAGGTATCTATAAAAAAAAAAATTATATTGATTCGGTCATTTTTAAAAAAGTTATGGCAATTTTAAGTAAAAAAAATTGAAAAAATATCGAAAATTAGCGATTTTTAAATTTGTAATTTTTTGGGGGATTTCCCCCGTTTACGGGGAACGAGGGAATTTTTTTCAATTTTTGAGGGTAATGTCTTCGACTAGATACGATTTGTGATCTTTTGACATATTGTTCATCAAAATCGGTCCAGCGAGAGCTGAGATTGAGCGTTCACAGACACAAAAAAAAAAATAAAAAAATAAAAAAAAAATAAAAAAACACATCATAGTAAAATTAATACCTTCTCAGCTTCGCATCGAAGCTAATAAGCTAATTCCTCATAAAAAATTGCTATTAAGAAAACTCTGTGAGCAGGTATTATGTAAAATATATCTTTAGTAATAAATAATAAAAAGTTCTTTTTATTTTATATTTGTTTTCATTTTTTGTTAATTTTGAAACCAACCTAATATTATCCAACAATTTTTTACGCTGATTTCAAATTTACAATTGGACTTTTTCTATCATCTTTAATATTTCGAGAAACTAACAATCATTTTTTTTAGAAATAANTCTATCATCTTTAATATTTCGAGAAACTAACAATCATTTTTTTTAGAAATAATTTATATAGCAACATGTTACCAAAAAATTTGGAATATTATAGTCTAGTAGTAGCACACACAAATAGAGTAAAAAAATTATTAAATTACAAAGTAAAATGATTTAATTTTGTATTTGAAACCTATCATATCAAATTATCATATCAAACTTGATTTGTCAATAAATACTTTGAAAACATAAGAAATGAATGATTTTAATTGTCTTAATTTTTTTGTCTTAATTAATTTCAATTTTTGAGGGTAATGTCTTCACTAGATACGATTTAGGATCTTTTGACGTATTGTTCATCAAAATTCAGAGCTAAAAGTTATGGTAATAAATAAATTTTAGTTTCAATGCAAAGCTAAGAAGGTATTAATTTTACTATGATGTGTTTTTTTTTTATTTTTTTGTCTTTGAACGCTCAATCTAAGCTCTCGCTGGACAGATTTTGATAAATAATATGTCAAAAGATTACAAATCGTATTTAGTCGAAGACATTACCCTTAAAAATTGAAAAAAATTCCCTCGTTTCCCGTAAATGGGAGAAAACTCCAATAAAATTACAAATTTAAATATCGCTAATATTCGAAATTTTTTCAAATTTTTTACTTAAAACTGCCATAACTTTTTCAAAATTGAACAAATCAACATAATTTTTTTTTTTTAGATACCTTAGGTATTCACCTATCATTTTATATATTTTTGTGAACATTTAACTCTTTACAAGCCCACAGGGGGGGATTTAAAATGACATCTTTTTCACAAAAAATTAACATTTTCAACTTAACTTTTGAAAATGTTCCGTAAAGACTGACACTATTATATACAGAGTGATTTTTTTATCATAACCCACTCAATTACTTGCAGAATAATAATAATTTAAACATTTTTTTTTTTTATTATCTTTAGTTACACATTATTCTTGAATTTTTAACTATGTAATACTTTTTAAGTTCATCCCTTATGCCTTGGAGGGGGGTCAACTTTGTTTTTTTAAATGGTAACACATATTTTTAATTTAATAAAATGTTTGAGTTTTTAATTTAATGGTAAATGGCATTTGCATTTTTAGTATAACTTTATTAGCTTATTAGATATAAACATTTAAAGTTTCAAAATTTCGAGTTAATATACATGTATAATACACATGGGATTGTAAATACAGGTAGCTAATTGGATTTTTATGACATTGCTGTCTCAGTCACGGATTGTTTATTATCAATTATGATTATCAATAGATATACTTTCTGTATTGTCAGTTAGTGTATTTATAAACTCATAACAATGTGCCTTACTACAATTGATAATAACAATGCTGTGTACCTGCTAATATCGATGTTATAAAAAACCAATTAGCTACCTGTATTTGTAATCCCTTGTGTATTATACCTGTATATTAATTCAAAAATTTGAAACTTTAAATGATTATATCTAATAAACGAATTAAGTTATATTAAAAATTCAAATGCCATTTACTATTAAATTAAAAACTCAAACATTTTATTAAATTAAAAATATGTGTTACCATTTAAAAAAACAAAGTTGACCCCCTTCCAAGGCATAAGGGATGAACTTAAAAAGTATTACATAGTTAAAAATTCAAGAATAATGTGTAACTAAAGATAATAAAACAAAAAAATGTTTAAATTATTATTATTCTGCAAGTAATTGAGTAGGTTATGATAAAAAAATCACTCTGTATATATCTTAAATTAAAGCTAATGTAATGTACTTTATTATGGTAAAAAAAAATTTCGGACTTTATTTTATCTTCATGGTAAAAACAGACATCAAAGTTAATAAAAAAAATACGATTTTTGTAAAAAAATTCTTTTTTATATTAGCTTCGATGTGAAGTTATTGGTTTTACTAAGATGTGTTTTTTTTTTTTTTGTCTGTTACCACTTTTTCTCAGCTCTCACCGAACCGTTTTCTTTCAATGATACGTCAAAAGATCACAAATCGTATCTAGTCGAAGACATTACCCTCAAAAATTGAAAAAATTTCCTCGTTCCCCGTAAATGGGGGAAACCTCCGAAAAAATTACAAATTTAAAAATGGCTAATTTTCGAAATTTTTTCAATTTTTTTTACTAAAAACTGCCGTAACTTTTTTAAAAATAAACATATCAATATAATTCTTTTTTTTACAGATGCATGATGTCATTACCTATTATTTGGTATATTTTTTTTATAAATCTGACTTTTTACCTGGCCACAGGGGGGGATTTAAAATGACAACTTTTTTACAAAAAATTAATTTTTTCAACTTAAATTTTGAAAATGTTTCGGAAAGACTGACACTTTTATATATACCTTAAATTAAAGCTAATGTAGTATACTTAAATTTGAAAAAAAAAATGTCTTCATGGTGAAAATGGCTACCGAATGCTATTTTTATGTGAAAATTCTCGATTTTATTTTTTACATTTTTAACTTTATAATGATATAACTTATTGAAAAGTGTATGGATCAACATAATTTTTTAATGAGAAATAATATTTTTTAATAATCCCTTTTTCATTCGACATACTTTATTTTATTCAGGATATTAATAAGGAACTAGCAGATTATGTAGCTTTTGGAATAATTCACCAATTTTTTAAAATTAAACACTATCTAAAGATTTGCATCGAAGCGTTTTTTTTTTTATAGTGATTTTAATCATTGTCAGATATCATTATACTTGATCCAACTATGCCACGTCACCACAGTGCCGCGACCCCCCTGTGCTGGGTTTTTTTTTATTATAAACATTCACAAAAATCTACTTTAAACGATTAAAAAAGTAGGTTAAATATGTCATTTTCCTTATTTTTAACACATTAATAATCAAAATCAGTATTAATTTAAAACAATTTTTTTTTCTTCTTAATTATTTTTTTTTATATGTAAATACTATTTTTTAATAATATTATAACTTAAAAGAGATAGAAAAAGTCTAATTGCACATTTGAAATATCGCGAAAAATTGATTTAGATAAGTATATTTTTGTTTCTGATGAAAGTTCCTTGTAATCAAGTGAATTTATTCATAAGCAACAAAATTTTTTAATCAAAAAGTATTGCATCAATCCCTTTATTTTCTTATACGCGTTAAAAGTATATGAATATACAACTCCTTTTTTTTTATAATATCTCCGTAAAAATTACAATATTATATTATTGAATATCAATTTCATACTAAATTTAATTACTGTAATTATTATGTATTCATATATTATAATTATAAATCGGGATAAAATTAAAGAAATAAGTGTTATTGATGTTTTTGAAATAATCTACCAATTTCTTAAAATTAAACACTATCTGCAGATTTAAATCGAAACGTTTCTTATGATAGTAATTTTAATCACTGTCAGATATCATCTATAACTGTCCCAACTATACCACTTCCTTATTGTGCCGCGACCACACTGTGCTACCGTTTTTTTTTTCAATAATTTCCAAAAAACCTAGTATCTTAACTTTAATTGATCACTCTATATAACTAGTAGAGTTATATATATATATATATAATAGCTTCATAGCTATTGTTAAAAAAATCATAGGATTTGTTTAATAATAGCAAACTGTATGCATCCCTTTAAATAAATATACATAAACTATAATAGATAAATAGTACATTTAATAGGAGTAAATAATGTAAAATAATATTTACCTCCGTTAAATATCGAACACGATATTATCAACAGAGCAGATATAATTTGCCAATTCTACAATAAAATAAAATAATCTTTTAGATTTGAATCAAGCACTTCAGGTAAAATATTACTCACCTTCATTTTTAATCTAAGTGTTAAATTCTGAATAACTAATGATGATTTCTTGGTTACAATGGTTTATATATATATATACGATCACCCACATAATTCTTTTTTTTTTATATAGTTTTAAATTTAAAAAGAGTATTTATAGTAAATATTAAACGATACCAATAAAAATGTATTATTTTTAGTAAACTATTCATACACAAGTTGAAAACAATAGCTAATTTTGCATTAGCAGAACATTTTCTTGATTTAACAATAAAAGGCAAATTATAAATACAATTTTATAACAATTTAATATAATTATTATACTTTATCATGTTAAAATAATCTGTGCTTCAGGGTTGTATTAATAATAAAAAAGACTTTTAATTTTAATAAAAATAAAATATCTTAATAATCTCAAACAATATATTCTAATTGCAGTGTAATTTTATCATAATTTATATTATACTTTTTATTTTTTTATACAATGCATTTTTGTAATCAAAAACCATATAATTTGTATCAGTATAAAACTTATAAAGGTAATACTCAATGGCGCAACCAGACAATAATTTCAAGAGGTTATAACTTGTTATTTTGTTCACTACTGCTAAGGGTCTGTTTAATATTTGGGGATCTTGGTCAAAACCAAGAATCGGAATCTACCCGACATGTGCCCAAATATTGTCTCTATCTCCTTAAATGAGTTTTAATTGCCTAAAGGATATCGAAAACTATATCTATAACGGTCACTCAAACACAACTGACCTTTGTTAGTTTAACGTTAGTAGTTCCGGGCTACAGACGAGTAGAATTGTCACATCAGCATCTCCCTCTCTCTATGATAATTAATTAGCATTACGAATTAAGTAAACGAAAATATAAAGACTATAATTTAAGTAGTAAGAACATAGCAATAAATATTCTTGCAATATAAATTTTAGGAAAATTCAAATAAACAGCAAAATTAAGCTTTCTAAGACTAAAAAATTTAAACATCGCTAATCATTATGTGTAATAAACCAAAAATAAAAAGAAAAGAAATTAAAAAAAATAAATAATAAAATTTAATAAATAATTAATTATATGATTTTTTTATTAAATTAAATGTCTTTAATATTTATTATATAATATGTTCATTAATTGTTTCTCTTATTAATTTTTAATTCTCCTATTTAATTTTTATTAATAGTTTATTACGCAATAGATTGTTGGAGATTCGAAAGCATAGATTAAATTGTACTTACCTTACGTCCTGTGTATTGTAATAATATTTCAAATAGTCCAATGTTGATTTTGGTATTAAACGCACCACGTATACGATTTACATTATACGTCATATAGTCCATATAATTACTTACGAGAACGATTCAATATTTTAAATAATATAATTTAATTACACAATGCTGACGTCTGATCATACTTGTAAAAGATGCTAAACACTCTATGTTTCGAATTCAGAGTGGACTGTATAAAATTCGATTACTTTAAAACTATTTATTTAGTAAGAAACTAGATAAAACTTAACACTTTTCACTTAGTTTATTATACTTTATTTTACATACACATATTGGCGTGCGCGTCGTGCCGTCCTTTACGATGACGAATTCATCGTTCGACTACTATTATTACAATAAAAAGATACCGGTACGCACCGGATAAACGCGTTTATCATATACCATACTAACATACAAAATAAAACAACAAAAATGGATCGAACACTCTATATTTTATTATAAATATAATTTTATTTTTTACTTATTAATTTTTACGTCTGTTGAATAAGTATTTTTTTTAGAGATTATATTTTATTGAGAGATCGACACCAATATTTCTTAAATTTTCCTCTGGCCTGGCCAAAACAAAATTCAGAAATATTTATATCTATGTAAAAAATTTATCAAGGCGGAATTGTGGTGGCCCAAAGTGTCCCGGCGCTAGCGTCTTGAATGGATGCGACGCAATCACCAAGACAAAAATTAAACACTAAAAATATATTTGTAAGTTTCTTTGCACTGTCCGCCGGCGCGATGCTCGTTAAAGCAAAGACATTAAGCTCTATGACTAGCTACCCAATAAGAAAAGCTCACAATAGATTTTTATTATTAAATCAAATTTAAAGTTGGGTTGGATTTATTATTAAAATAAAATAATTAAAAGAAATTTAATGTTTAAAATATTATTTGATATTTATTTCCACAACAATAAAAATAAAACATTATTATTTAATGAACAAATTAAATTAAATTAAAAGATTCACCAAAACAAAATTCACTTTAAAATTTCTAAGTGTCATTTAGTTTTAAAGAAAAATATTCCAAGTCAAAATTAATTAAAAAATCGACTAAATCCCGGAGAGTGAAATCTTGAGTAGTGTCGTAGATTTTGTGTCTTTTAAAATCGCCGAAAGAACTGGTTTAGTCGGGGGAAAATAGCATTTTATAGTCTGAAGGGGGTAGCCCAGCGATCTCTACCGTGATCCTGGAAGCTGAGGATTTGTATTCTAATTGGTTAATTATAATGAGGGCCTTGCGTGTAGGCGTTACTTAATAATCTCTACAATAAGTAGATTTTATCTCATAATTAAAGAATTATTTTGTATTTTATATAAGAGAACGCTGTTTTGGTGATCTTCTATAATCATAATATGTGACATACATGTACAATTGATAACATCATGTTATATGTTAATATTATAAGTAATAATATGATATTACATATGGAATGGTTAACCTCCTAACTTTCACTGTTTGCGCCACTAGTAATACTAGATATATTACTTATTGAATGATAAAATTTATGATTGATAAATAAAAATGATAAGTTGTAACGGATTATATTTCAAAACATTTTTTTTATTTTTCTAGTCAAAATTATAGCAGTAAAAAAGTATACCAAATTAATATAAATATAGGTATTTATAAAAATTAATTTGTTTTGATGTGAACAGTAGCACAAATACCTTATAATGGGGTACACTGATTTTCATGAATATTATTTAATACTAATTTACATAGAACATAAAGTAAAACTTAGTCGAAAAAATTAATTTTAACATATGAATCAGCTTAAATTGCCAATTTTATTAAAAATGAATGCGACAAACGTTTCCCGATTCAGTAAAAAACAGGCAATGATTTTTTTGCAATTTTTCCTTAATTCTTTTTAAGTTAGAATTTTACTTTTGAATAATCCACCAATTTTTAAAATTAAACACTATCTACGGATTGGCATCGAAGCGTTTCTTATGATAGTGATTTTAATTACTGTCAGATATCATCTATACTTGTCCCAACTATGCCACGCTCATACTGTGCCGCGACATCGCTGTACTGTCCTTTTTTTAATTTTTAACGAGAGAAATTATTTTAATTTCTCTAATTTAAATGTAACTTATAATTTCAAATACTTTTAATTCGTAATGTTTTCTTAGCTGTAACATTTTATAACTATTAATTTATTTATTCACATTCAAGTTAAAACTTTACTAAGCAATAAAATTATATCATTTTTCCAAAATAGTTGTAAGTGTGATTCAATAAAATCACATGTGTTCTTTAAAATTATGTTTGAAAAATTTGTCATTCTTTGATTAATATATTTAAAATATTTTCAACAAAAGTTTTGATAATAAGTACACATATTATATTTTTTTTTATTGAAAATATTTTATGGGAACCATTGCTCCAATTACCCCATATATTCATACTAAATTTTAAATAAAATAACACTGATAGTGTAGTAAATTGTGAAGCAAAATAAAAAAAATAATGAAACTTTTTGACCGAGCTTGATCATTTGACACGTAGATTAATTAAATTAAAATGTTTGAATGGTCAAAAAACCCATCTCTATTGATAACAAATTTTAATCCAGTATTTAACAGATTTAAAATTTTTATACCAGACTGGTTTTTATCTTATTAATATAGATTAATTCTCTCGGAACAAAAATGATTAATTTGTGAATATGTAACTTTTTTTATTAAGTGTAATAGAGAAAGATTTTTTTATTCATATCTTCTCAGAACAAAAGCCTAATTGTAACACTGTAGTTAATACTATAATAGTAGTAATTTTGTGTCAACCACCATGAGAAAAATAGTAATGTGTTAATGACACGTGAAAAGTGGAATAGTTAAAAATTGTCTTTTGAATAGTCTCTCTGAAATTTTTTTTATGTTGTCGTACGTCGGTAGTGCCCCAACGTAGACACAAAGGTTTATTAAAGTTTTATGTATATATATATTGACGATGAGTTCGTCGTCTAAGCTCTTCTCGAGTCCTCCCGTTGGATAAACTGATCAGCCCCAATCTCTCTAATTAGTGGACTACTAAAGGGGTAGAGTTTAGACCCGTCAGCACAGTCTAGCTCAAAAATAGCAGACTGAAGGGTGGCTCCTTGTCAGCCACCAGCACAACTACCTTTTTACTATACCCACTGAAGGACGGTTAAGCCCAAACACTAGCCAGCTCGTACACTAATTATTAAGATTGACTAAAGGACCAGCAGTCCAACCTAGACTCTAGCCGCATACACACACACACACACACACAATTTCNACACACACAATTTCGAGATAATTTCGAAAATAAAATATTTGCGCTAAGTCCAGATTTTTAAATAGCTATTTTATTTACGAAAAGTATTAAACACAAAAGTCAAATATAATATAATAATTTAACACAAAAATTAATTAAATCTTACAAAAAGTATATAGTTATTCTTACATCAACGACCTAACCCGCAACTCGACGTTTCTTCGACAAAAAACGTCCAGTCTCGTCTCGCTCCGTATCGTCCCGTGTCGTCCCCCTATACTTTTCATGTTTCCCTTTTATATTCTTTTTCCCACCATTATTAATTTGCTTACCCTGCATTTCCCTTTTATATGGAATTATTATATTGCTTAAGAGTTCAAAAATTGCTTACTACTATTGTAAAGCTTATATTATACTAAAATCGACGTAATTCAATACTTCCTCATCTAATTACTACAATGTATTGTTGTAATTTTAGTATGAACGATAACATCAAATAGTTAAACAGTAAATAAGTCTTTATTGAGAAACAATATAAAACAATATACTCTTTTCCAAAAGTTACAATTGAATATTTAAAAAAGTGC